CTAGTCAACTATGTTGCAAACTACTGCTAAGCAAAACTAAACAAAATACTCAAAAAGGAGTTAGTTACAGTTTCCCTCGTCTCTTGTTTATTAAATCTTTATAATTCGGAGCACTTTCTTAAGAAAACGAGAAAGTAGCCAACAAAAAGTAATGTTGGCTTATAGGAGGAAAACTAATTAGTAACTTTTTCGATTGCGTCCGGGCCACTCATTTTATAGCAAGTATTGCTATATTTGTTCACTGTAAACATAAAGAGCAGTGTTTGACTAGTGGCTTCAGCGAGCGACTCTCATCATGAGGTCGTAGGTTCTATCTCCGGCTGTGTACCAGATAAATTGACAAATGATCATGACAAATGAACTCCCCTGAACACTCTCCATGATAAATGCGGTAGAAGATGCAGAGTGACCACACATATTCTCTACGCTACGCAAAGGGATCAAGCTCGGAGAAGGATTGGTCGTCGATGATTCGAACCGCTCTTCGTTGAACACGGTAAATACAGTGAGTTGACGCTGTAACAACTAATTGTCTAACAGCTGAATATCTTATATATAAAATTCTCGTGTCACAATGTTAGGTACCATACTCCTCCGAAACGGCTTGACCGATTTTTATCAAATTATATATGCATATTCAGTAGGTCTGAGAATCGGCTTCTATCTATCTTTCAACCCCCCTAAGTGATAAGGGGTGTCCACCCCAAAATATTTATTTTTATTTTTTTGACATTTTTTTTTGTATTTATTTTTTTATGATACAGCATACAAAAATACATACAACCCCTCTACGATCAACCCCTATTTTGTATTATAGTAGATAGTTATTTTTATTGAACTAAAAAAATGTTTCCTAGAAATCATATACATGGCATAACGACGTTTGCCGGGTCAGCTAGTATAATATATATCTCATATGTATAATAGATATCTCTAAAATTAATGTTACACTCTATATTGAGGTAAATTTATTTTCACATAATTCTTGAAAGCATGAATTTAAATAAGAATTTTAAATTTTGTAAAACTCATATATACGTACAAAAGATAACCCTAAGCATAAAGTTAAGAATTTTAGCATGTTACGAACTAACAACCTTATAATAACAAACATATAATGCTGTATTTATAATTGATTGAAAAGTATGGACACGGCGTTTGAATATATGGTTTTTGAATTTAATAATAATAAAAGCAAATTCACTAACCAAATACATACATTTAAATAATTGTTATGTTATCAGCAGCCAGTTGGCCAGGTTGTCTTCTGACATAGGATTTTATAATTTACTAGGATTAAAAAAAAAAACTTTGTATACTTTGCATTATGATATGAAATAAACTTCAGCAATTGATGATGACATTTACTGATGGATTCCATTTGTATAGACCACAATGTCATACTGAGCATGTTCTAAGCTTTTACAAATTTTCATAGGAAGAACAGCCAGTGTCCAGTAAATAATTGTTATGTTATCAGCAGCCAGTTGGCCAGGTTGTCTTCTGACATAGGATTTTATAATTTACTAGGATTAAAAAAAAAAATTTGTATACTTTGCATTATGATATGAAATAAACTTCAGCAATTGATGATGACATTTACTGATGGATTCCATTTGTATAGACCACAATGTCATACTGAGCATGTTCTAAGCTTTTACAAATTTTCATAGGAAGAACAGCCAGTGTCCAGGACCTTGGCTATTTTTGCTGGAAAAGGAATCAATAAACAAACTTTAAACTTATATTTTACATTAAAATAAAATAAATAAAAATACACAAGGTTTCTATTACTATTTATCAACTTGAACAAAATTAAATATCAAAAGTAGTTACTATTTCATTATTTCCATTTTATTAAGTTTTATTTACATCCTGTAAAGTTTGTTCAATGCAACATTGGTTGATTTTCCAAAACACCCTTCATTTGTAATATAGATGTCGCCATCAACCTGTCATATCCATATAAGTCTATCCAGCGCAGTGGAGTGGAGTCCTAGAGTCGAGTTAAATAAAGTTTTCCGCCGATGTATTCGCGACTAATGATGTATGTCAACGCTCATATTCCTGCATTTCAACTTAAACATTTTGCAAACTTTCAAATGAAGCTACGTCTAAGAAAACATAAGTTTATTCCGCTTTCGTTCGCTGCACTTTAGTGAAAAGCGACTTCATTAAACTAAAATTGAGTAAAGTTCAATGTTTTAGTTACTCAATTACTTCAATGGTTTATTTCTTAGTGAGGTTACTTCAAGATAAATAATATTGAAATGTGTATAATTTATAATTAATTTTGTATTTATAGTCTTAATTTCTATTTTGTATTGTTTCTCGTATGTGACGGAAGAGTGCCTGGTCTGTATGCTTTAAAGAAATATATATAACTAGCGGATCCGACAGACGTTGTCCTGTCTTAACTATGAATATTGATTTCAAATTGGTATAATTAACTAAAAAAATATTTCAGGAACAAAGTGTTTATTATTCTAACGATTTATGTTTTATATAATATTCCTTGTTTGTTTTTCTGGCTCGTATATAACTATTTTATATGTATTTCATCAATATAATAACTCCGATCGAAGCATTTGTTTTAAACGATATTCATTTTTCTTACATCCTCAAACAAACGCAATAAGGTTCATTTCATCAAAAAAGTTTGAATTGTGTGGTAGTTAAGTATTCATAAATTTTCTAATTTTCCGCGCAATTTTTTTATTTTTTTCTTTCATAAGAACCTTCTTTTGACAATAACAAACACAACAAAAGTAGAATTATCGAAATCAGTCCACCCGTTCACGCGTGATGCCATGACCAAGGGAAATAGCGATTCATTTTTATATATATAGATAAGTTACGTTACATTAAATAAGTATTGATAAATAATTTAATTTTCTATTTATCAGTTCTAATTATTATTATGTAGGTTAAGAATATCGTATGTACTGTATATTTTTATGTTGGAAATAATTGAATAATAATTGTAAAATTTAATAAACCATGATGGTTTTTTTCTTGTAAAATATTCAAGTTCTATATATTTTGCTAGTACAGTCTCCGATTTATTATTTAAGTTATTGAAATAATATAATAATAATACCGAGGAAAGTGAAATTATATGTGATTAAATACACGCTAAATTTACTGATTATATTAAAAAAAATTTCAAACAAAAGAAGCACTTCCGTTGGCCCATTCATCGCAGTTATATGAAATTTATATAATTGATTGTTTGGATTTCTCTCTAGTTAACATACATTTGATATTTAAATTTTCAATGAAAACTTTTATCAATTCAAATTTTAAATAAAAATATGTCATAGCAATAGCCCTACTCTCAATTGCCATTATGTCAGGGAGCTTCATTAAAAACGTCAATGTCAAATCAGTTACCGTTAGTAATTGTATTTGATCATTCGATATGTCAATAAATTACTACGAGAAATTAAGGATGAAGGGCCTCATAGCCTAGCGGTCTTATTAAGTGGCAGCTAGGTGAGGGGTACCGGGTTCGATTCCCGGTTCGAGGGCAAGTTTTAATTTAAATTTGTTCTCTGCCTTTGGGAGGGATGTGCGGAACCGGGCGAGTGCTTAAACTGTACATGGAGGTCACACGGTCGAATTTCTAAGGCAAGAAGTGAGTATGCTACCTAAGAAAGGAGACTGAAGGTTTAGAACGTAGCAATACGTTTTAGGCCGAGGATGGCAATTACCAGTGCGAATTATAAAAATCTTATACTTGACGCTGGCTAATGCACAAACCGTGCCAGAGCCATAAAGGAAAAAAAAATTAACGATGGTTGATAGTAACAGTGTCTCCGTTGTCATTACACACATCACACACTTCTGGTACTTGTACCTGTAACGTGTAATAAAGACAGTAAGTATTAAGCGAACATTCTTTACATGAAGTTTCAAAACATCACGACGTAGACAAAAAGAACTTGACGGAGTATCTTGCCATTTCTTCTCTTCCGTTCTACGCCTTTGATTGGAGAAAGTAGCGAATGAATAAAAACACTAAGACTATCATAAGTATTAATTATATTATAATAAATATTAATATTGATAACTAAGTCTCCGTTATAATAATTAATTCAATTAAATACTTTTTAAGTAAGCACAATCAATGTTACCCTCTGATTAATTCGTAAAAGAAAATCGACCATGAAACTGGATTTTAATTGGAATTATTCCACAGTCTCTAACAAGCGGTTTGAGGGATTCTCAGGTCTAAATGAACCATCGTGTGTCCAATTGAATTTCATAGAATCTCGATTTAATCCGCTATAGTTTTATACCAACGAATTAATCCAGTCAAAATAGACAAAAATAAGTCATAACTTAGCCAAAATTCGCATAGAGCTGAAAATTGGCAGAGACGTTAAATACATCATTATAAATGAAATGTCAAAAATCCCCTTCGATCCTACTTCTGCAAAAAAAATTATTCAAGGTCAAAAGTATAAAATTAAGGTTTTTTCCATTTTTCTCGAAAACAGTTAGTATTATCGTGAAAATAGATCAGACAAAAGTTGTAGATCATACAATTTTCTACAAAAATGGTTCAGTCACTTTTTCTCTTACGACTCACCATTCATGAGATATCGCGGTTTTAATCATTAGAAAATTCATATTTTACATAATATGCACAAAATGCAGTCTGTATACGTCACCGGACGTTCAATATAAATGAAAATAAGAAACTATTCGTTTGTGTTACTTATACAATAAAACTTGTATAAATTAAATGAGGATTTTAAAATATAAGACTATACTGTCAGTCCCTAATTCCCTTCGTCGGTAACCTTGAGTAAAATCTGCTAGCTACGTCATTGTTTGACTGTGGAGGGTCGCATACCTGCCTATTTTTGAAGGAAGTAAATGAAATGACTCAGTATATACTGTTAGTTTTGAAAATTCCTGTGCAGTGAGCAGACGTGCTTATTGGTAATATTTTCAATTTTAATTTGTGCTGCCTATTTAAAAATTTAAACAAAATGTCAGAAGTTTGTTTTATTTGTGATAAACCTTTGAAAGAAAGTGAAGTCGTTGTTGTTGATCGTGGAATGAAGACTTTGATTGATGCAAGTGTTGAAAGAAATGATAATTTTTTTGAATACTTAAAAGACAAGCAATCTGTGACAGTCCACGTGCAGTGTCGTAAAATGTATACTCGAAAGAGTAGTATTGTTGCAGCTAAAAGACAGCGCGAGCCAGAAGAAGGTAGTACATCCACGATAAGTCCACCTCATACTAGAGCACGAGTAAGTGAGCCAGATTTCAACTTTAATAAATGTTGTTTATTTTGCGGCGATGAAGCAAATGAAGAAGCTGAAAAGAAGAAAGCGCAGAATGTTCGTCGTAAAATTTATAACGTATCTACACTTGAATTTAAAGATTCCATTTTAAAGGTAGCTCGGACTCGTTCTGGTGACGTAGCAAAAGCTGTTATTGCCCGCATTGGGTATGAATTTGACTTAATTGCTGCTGAAGCTAAGTACCACAATAACTGTTATATTATCTTTCTGAGACCTACCACGGGATATAAAGTCGGTCGTCCCGAAGATGATTCAGTAAACTTGGCGATGGAGGAAATATTTCAGTACATTAAAAATAATGATGATTGCCAATTTTCATTACAAGAATTGAAAGATATCGACAAAAATCCAACTATAGATAATAAAACAATTAAAAGAAGATTAAAGTTAAAGTATGGTGATAAAATTATTATAACTGAGAAAAAGGAAGCTTAACAATTATCTGTTTTATTGATAATCAGTACGATATTCTTAATAAAGCTTGGTATGAAAATAAAAAACAAAATACAAACGAAGAACGATTCAGAATATTGAAAGCTTCTTCAGCAATTATTCGAGAGGATATTCAATCTGTAGTGATTGATAATGATAATTATCCCCCGCCGAGTGAAATGTTTGAAAATATTAACAGCGATATTCCGGAGTCCTTGACTTATTTTTTGGAGCAAGTAATTTTAAAAAATCGACGATTTAAAGTAGATCATTTGAAATTAATATGTACAACTATCAGCCACTGTATAATGACTGCTGTTCGGCCTAGGTCTTTCAAATCAAGATTGCAATTGGGTTTATCAGTTTTTTTTTCATCGACGATTTGGATCAAAACGTCTTATACAGATTTTTTCGTCTTTCGGATTGTGTGCATCATATAATGATACTATAATGTATGAGGCAGCAGCAGTTCTGCATCGTCTACCGCATATTTTGCCACCAAAAACTGGCACATTTATTCAGTATGTTGCAGACAATGCTGATATAAATGTACATACCTTAGACGGTCATAATACGCTTCACATCATGGGGATCATTAAAATTATTACTACAAAAAGTTCAGTTATAGCAGAAGAGCCTATATTACGAACAAACATACTTCCTTCAGCGCAACATTTTGCAGAAAAAGCTCATGTGCCAATACAAGTCTATCAAACAGATAGTGTGGTAGGATATAGCAAATAGCTGTGCAGGATTTTGATTATAAAAATAATACAACATCTTTACTTAAAAAAGTAGATATGTTATGGTTGTATGGGTAGTGGAAAAATTTATTATTGCCTGGTTGGAATGGTTATATTGAACATTTAACAAGTAATATTATAAATTTTTCGGAATCTCGAATTTTATTTTTACCATTTATTCATCAACCAGCGAGTAACTACAATACCATATCGACGTAGGAAAGCACATTTGCTGTAAGTAGACATATTGCAATTGTTCACCAGAGCCAAAAAACTTTATTAATTTCGGAAAAAAATTAATAGTGTCTGACCTATCCATGATATTGCTACCATTTTTGAAACATATATTTATTTAACTGCCAGTCACCATTTGCAATGTAAACTTTTTATCCAAAGTTACTATAAGTACGTGTTTGGCTAGTTACAGCAAACAGTTTTTTAAATCACAAACCTTTAAAACGCTGTAACTAAGGAAGAAAAATGTACGCGCGGAAATATTATCAATTTACAGGCGGTAAATATGCTGTATGCAGGAAATTTATGTATTTGGGTACTTTTAATTGCAATTCAAGATGTAAGATTAGTTTATAATTATGATTAGATCTAGAAATGCAGTGGGTCATTTGGTAATGTAATGTTTGGTTGAAATAAAATGTCGTAAATGGTAAAAAAAAAACCAAAACTGTAGGTTCCCTAAACTTGCTGTAAGTAAACGAATGTAAAAATCACACGCCGCTGAAATGCTGTAAGTAGCGTTAAGTTTTTAAATGGGAAGAAGTAAGTATTTGTAAAGAAAAAAATGCAGATTTTCTTTTGCTGTAAGTGCAAAATGTCTGAAATGACTAGATTTTGGTCTACATACAGCATTTAATCTTGCTAAAAATAATATAAGTACGGGCGTTTTCAACGGCGTATGTAATTTTTTTTCATCGTAGAGACACAGGACCCATTGGTCCTGGAGGGTCATTCGATGCGGCTTTTTTTCTGATTCTAATGGCAGGAAAAAGTCACTTTAGGTATTTTGTCTACTTACAGCAAATATGCTTTCCTACGTCGATATACACAACTTTACTGTGTGCTTTAGAAGATGCAAAACGTTATGGCCACGATTATTGTGTTATTACTTTTGATCAACCTTTGTACGCAAAAGCTCGAGAAATCGTATCCGCAGCGCCTGAAGGATCTGATTTATCGAAGATTATAGTAAGACTTGGAGGTTTTCATTTACACATGTCTTTTTTAGGAGCGATTGGATATATTATGCAAGGAAGTGGTATAAAAGAAGTACTTTCTCTGATTTAAGCACCTAATTCATTTGAAAAAATGCTCAATGGTCATGCTTACGCGAGAGCTGTTCGAGCTCATACCTTGCTACATCTTACTTTAGCAACAATTATATCCAAAGAGCTTGTTCTCGATAGTGAGATGGATAAAAACCTTACAAATACAATTGAACTTATAATAAATAAAACTATTTCCTATAATGATATTGAACAAGGCGATGAAATAGCTGAAGCATTACTTTATCAGTTTAATGAAAAACTACAGAAGCACGGAGAAGGAGGACCTACAGCAAAACTGTGGATACAATATTTTCATATGGTGTCTATTGCAAAGGAAAATTATAAGAGCTGAACGTATGGGTGATTGGCGAGCTCATTTGAATTGCGTTAAAGAAATGCTTCCTTATCTTCATGCGTCAGGACATTTTAATTATGCCAAGTACATTACCTCATAGGTGGTGCGGAAATGTGTGCATATTACGTAGAATATGAATTTTCTAATGATTAAAACCGTGATATCTCATGAATGGTGAGTCGTAAGAGAAAAAGTGACTGAACCATTTTTGTAGAGAATTGTCTGATCTATTTTCACGATAATTCTAACTGTTTTCGAGAAAAATGGAAAAAACCTTAATTTTATACTTTTGACCTTGAATAAAATTTTTTGCAGAAGTAGGATCGAAGGGGATTTTTGACATTTCATTTATAATGATGTATTTAACGTCTCTGCCAATTTTCAGCTCAATGCGAATTTTGGCTAAGTCAAATGCCTATTTTGACTGGACTAAATACGAATGTATAGTCCACGGGAATTGCTTAGAAATTTTGTACCAGGTTTGTCGGTTCTGTATTTTTCAGTAGTGATATTTTTATGGAAGTCTTTATGAAGTAGTGTTGACGAAGAAGCTTCAGCGTACGGCTCGTATTCCTATTAACTGTCTATGTGGACATTTACGAGTACGGTCCGCAAGGCACCCAAAAAGTCGACGGCGTATGTCAGGCCTATTACAAAACACAAATTATCAAGAAACAGATACAAAAATGAAAAGGACCAGACATAAAAAGTAGTCATGCCAATGGTTTTTTTCTGTATAATGCACACCTTCAGATGTTAGGACTATCGCATGAGTTCTGGTCAAAGTTGAAAAGGTCAACTGAATACCAATTAGTAAGCCCTTATAATTTGCACTTTTATTTTTATAATTTGATTTTCGGCTGAGCTTTACCAAAATTTGTGGCCAAAAGCTGGATAGTAAAAAAAATATACTTTTATCGCATATATCAGTCGGCGGTCCTAGAAATTGTGTTATCCGTTTTCTTAAAGAAGTTTAATTTAAACGGTAAATTATGTATATCAAAGATTTGACTATTAAATGTAAAAATCTAAGATAGAAGAAGAATAAGAACTATTTGTGTGAGTCTAATCAGTGAATCGTTTATTGAAAACTTAAATAGAAAGAAAGGTAAATTAATAATGAACGAGATTATAACTCAAATAATTATGTATTTTGAGAAAAAAAATACACTACAATACCATTAATTTTAAATGTAATTTACAGAGTTATTGTGTTATTTACATTGATCTCCGTTTAATCCCTCTAATAGAAGTTTAGATCAGTAAAATGGGAACCGTGCCTACATATTTCTTTGTATTGAGGGTTCCACCATTTTCTAAGATTTTTCACAACCTTGGTTTCCTCTGTATGTAGACTTTTACATAGTTGACAAATATCTGCTATGGGTGGCTGTTCTTTGTACACGTAGTAATTGTGCCATCTGAAAAATATATGAAGACGCATAACACTTATAAATCTGTATCTGTTTACCTTCACCGTACGACCAAGTATTCATGGCATAGCAAGAAACATTCATCAATGCACCATGATTCGAACTGTTAGTATGTAAACCAACCTTTGCCTATCTAGTACGCAAGGAATTTAAGGAAGATTCCCGGTCCTTAACAAAGTTATACATGTCTTCTAATTATATATTTTTTAAAGAGTATTTTGAAGTTCTTGTTTAATATAACGTATTGGTACTTTTAAAGACAAAGCGGGAATATGTAGGCTTATCTGGGGGAGAGTGATTGCAAACCGAAAAAAAATATGGCGCGTTTCGTTTGTTTGTGCGTTGCCTTTAGTCCAATACCCATTGACACGAATGATTACTTCCTTTTGTCCAATCAAATGCTCTATTTTTGTATTTCACTCTCCATGTATCAGTGAGAGACAAATTTTACTCTCTCCGGAAATATTTCAATTGTTGCTTATCAAAAATTTACCTGAAATATTCCTCATATACATTTCTGTCCTTTATAGCCGCTGCAATGAGGGTTGCAACTTCATCAGAATTCAATTTACCCGCATCAATGTACGATGCCGGGGGTAGAAACCTGAAAATGCAGTATATTTTATATAAATTCATCCACGTAACTATAATAAAAATTTAAATAAGGTTTTTGCGATTGTCGTGTGCATATATATATCATAAATTAACTATCAATTTATATAAAGAAAAATTAATAGCAAAATATGTTCCTAAGCTTTTTTATTCATTCCTTGAACTATGAGGAAAAAATTCCGGAGAGATAAATTTGAAAATTATTTAAAATTTAGTTTTAATTACTATAGGGTTTTATACTGGAAAAGCGAATAGTTTGTGTAGCATAGCAAATATTAGTATGTAGAAAAGGCGAATTGAAATTCGCGGGGCAGGTAGTTAAATAACGAAATCATATTTAGGTCTATAAATAAATATTTAATTATGATTTCGTGTGACAGGAACGTTGATGATTAAAACCTCTGATTTATATTATCATTAAATTAAATTCAGTCTACTTTGTGTTATGATAGCTATACATATATTCTACTAAAAAGAGTAAACAAAATGATTGGTTGTGGCAAGTAGTTTATAATATTAATGCTTGTAAATATTTAAAAATTAATTGCTTACTATATAATCAAAAATATACATTACACTATAAAATAAAAATAAAATACTTAAAATGAAGATTAGATATAAATACTAAACGCGATATCTGTCACAAATTTAATTATGCGCAGTGTAACGTACAGAGGCAAAACACAGGCAGAGACCAATATCTATTCTGACATACTTGACTTGAATCTTACCCTGATCTCCATTGTAGGTCTGTTGTACTTGATTAGTGGATTTAATCAAGCGTTTGACATTTCTCAAAAAAATAAATTTGAATTAAAAAGCCTTAGAAAAACTATCAAGGATTTAAATAAAGACGCAACAAAGAATTGTTGTTTTTTTCGTGTTTGAAAAAAATTCTGGTAAGAACATAAACAGTACCGTCCATAATCAGCTCCCCCATATACGATTGGCACTGCATAATGCTGCGTAGGGTATAAAATTTTCTCCGTCACATAATCCTCCGCCATTGAATTTTCAAACGCCAAATAAAAGTAATAACTCTTCTGCAATAAATCCAGGCAGTCTTCAAGTCTGTTTTTGGGGCATGTCTTGTTTCCACACCAACCGTAAATATCGACTTTTAATCTAAATTTATTTAGTGATTTCGCTAAATTATCCGCTACGATACGACGCTTTTTTGATTGACAGTTCGATACAAACCACGCGACTGCTTTCTTCTTTAACCGCAACTTTTTCTTCACGTGATCAGGTGTAGGGTTCATAGGCAAAATCCATGATACATTTACTTTTGGCCCGACTACGTTATCCTCTTTATCTAGTATAGTAAAGTATGACCATCGTATATCGGAGTTTAATTTGTATGTCCAAGTTAAATTGTAATAACCATCAAACTCACTGCTGCAAATTGGATAATATCCTGACGATTCTGACGCTGTAAATATATACTTTTGATGTGCAGCTCTCACGGGCGGATGCCTGTCCCAATTATTCTCAACGTCAAATAATATTGCATCATAATACCTCAAATCTCCAAGCAGACTTTTATCGTTCGACACAAAACAGTTTCTATACGTACAATTGTTGTCCATAAAGGCTTGTTGGCCGGTCTTGAATAGCTTGGAGTAACGGGAGTTGTAGTGTGAAAATGCTTCTGTCCACTTCAAGATGTATTTAAAATCGGTATATAGGCGATCTGGTTTCGTAAAGTTTGTCTGAATATATGAACCTGTATTTTTCTTAATATCCCTTTCTAGTTTTCGTAAAGTACCGGGTGTACGGATTATATATTGTATTTCTATTTTTATTTCTTTACTATATAAAGATTTAATAAAGTAGAAAATTAAAGCACTGTATGCACTGATTATGATTGCTCTCAGTAACCTCGACATATTGACAATGAATGGAATTTTAAGAACAGTTATTGTGTTAGGAAATTGTTTGTTTTGGGTTTGGTGGCTATTCAAAGTTTGATGAATTATTCTGACGTAAACATTATCAAGTATCTAATGTATGTATCTGAAATATAGAAACGGTAATTTCAGTTAATATTATTTACTAAATAAAAGAGCCAAAAAGTTCTATTTAACGTTCATTGTTCAACGATTACAAGATGACACGTATATTAATTTTTCTCATGCAAATGAAATTCGCTCGGAAAACAAGGCATTATACTAAATAGAAAATTAAATATGAAAATCTGCTTTGTGCGGACGCTTTGCTGCGTTATGTGCGCCTCTCACGGGCAACGATATGCAAATGATGAAAAATAGACGAGTGCTGCCCTCTTGTTCAGACAGAGCTTATTTTAGTTTTTAAATTGTTTTACGGACACGGCTTTTGAAAGTATTAATCTCATACGAAATGAGTTTGTATTAAAATTTTGAAATGCTGATGTTTCAGCTCGAAAAAATATTCGTACGTTTAGGCTATGTTCACATGTAACGCGCGTCAACGTGCGATCAATTTTGAAGAGAGTTCAGATGATGAGCGCTAATGCGCGTTGCGAGGGTACTCGTCAGTCTAGTTCGGTAGAACGTAGAAAATGGACGTGGAAGAGGCTATTATTTTGTGGTTATATTATAAAGAAAAATATAGAAAAAGAAAACGTACACATTGGGTTCATCCAATTTTGAAAAATAGACCCAGTTTGTTATAAATATAATTACGAAAATTAACAAAATTACATGCGATCGTGATGAAAGCGCGCGCTCAACTGAACAGCATACGGACATTACATTAATATCAAAGCGCGCGTCAACGCGCGATCACCTGCGTCTAGAGACTTTTTTTCTGAGCGCCGCGTTGACGCGCGTTAACGCGCGCTCATGTGAACAGTTGTATGAAAATACCACAATGTCTAGTCGCGCGATTTGAAAACGCGCGTCAAGTTTTTGCCATCTGAACATAGCCTTAACTAGCAATCTTCTTTAATTTTTATTTAATTATAATTATATTTTTAGTTTTTGATTTGTCTTATTGAGGTAATAATATTATAAATAAATAATCAATGTATATCTTGTGTAGTATATATAAAATTCTTGTGTCACAAGTCACAACGTTCGTCCATACTCCTCCGAAACGGCTAGACCGACTCTTATGAAATTTTTTATGCATATTCATTAAGTATGAGAATCTACTATATAATATTTTAGGGGTATCCACCCCTAAAATATATTTTTATTTTTAAAAAAATTTTTTGTTTTTTTTTATGATACAGCATACCAAAATACATACAACCCCTAATTTTCACCCCTCTACGATTAACCCCTATTTTTTATGATTGTAGATACATAGTTATTTTTATTGAACTAAAACAATTTTTCTTAGAAATAATATACATGGCAAAACAACGTTTGTAGGGTAACGTTACGTTTTAAATATAATATTTGTTGTCTTTTATATCCATGACATAAACTTGTTATTCTTAAATATCCAGGTCGATACACTATTAAGAAACTACAACGGTTCTTCCTACATAGTCCGATGTTTAATATACTAAGTCATGCAATAATAAAACAGCTACACTGTATTGAAAGACTATGTTTAGTGGCCCCCTATCTTCTAATATTATTATTTAAATATACATTTCATATCTATATCACGTATATTAATTATCCCCTTATTTTTTTTTACTGTCATAAAAGAACAGATGAATATTTTCTTCTATGTGTACTTATTGTGTTTAGTCACAGTGAGAAAGAATTTAGACATATGAATAGTACTTTAAAAGTAAAAACGGCACTGAGTTTCACTGGCTTCAGCATGCGACTCTCATTTCTAAGCTCGTAGGTTCGATCCCCGGCTGTGCTTGGACTTTCTTTGAGCGTATTTAACATTCGCTGGAACGGTGAAGAATAACATCGTAAGAAAACCGGCTTGCCTTTGACCCAAAAAGTCGACGGTGTGTGTCAGGCATAGGAGGCTGATCGCTGCTAATTGACAAATGATCATGAAACAGATACAGAAATCTGAGGCCCAGACCTAAAAGATCTGTTGTAGCCACTGATTTAATACTCGCGTAAAATAGATTTTATTAAAATTCATTAATAGATATATAGTTACACCACTACACGCAATACTCGTTGAGTGAGTTTGCTTATCTTGCCGAAGCGCACAAATTATTTAAAGAAGTCTATTAAGTATGAGCGTGTGCAATTATTTAATCAATTACCCTCTAAAATTAGTAATATTAGAGTGTTTAATCATTTCTAAAGGGCATCAAAGATACATATTAGAATAAGCCTAGTAGACTAAAATTGGGATAGCTGATGGCGACGCGTATCTCGTTCGTATATTATAATAAGTTTCTCATATAAATAAAAATACAATTTTTGTAATGAGAAATAAAGTTCTTTAAACATTAAACATTAGTTACGATACAATTTATAACGATTTGAATAACATCGAACAGAAATTCACGGGTGTTAACTTTTTTCTCTTTGAACTGCTGAATATTAGCAAAAAGTCATTAAAAGTAAGGGCGCTGTTCATCACGGGAGAACCTCAAAGTATTAAAGTAGGACCTAAGTTATAAAAGTTCATTCATTTAACGCTTGCACGCGTTCGGGGTACGGACTGAATTTTAAATCTTCGCGTATTAGAATACAGGTGCGATACTCTGTGGTAACTTTATGAATACCTAACAGGAATGTAACGAGACATTTTTGTGTGGAACACTAAAGAATTGCTCTATGGGCGTATGGAACTAAACGGAACCACAAACAAGTGTCAACCAGAAAACGTGTAATAAACTACAAATTGTATGGAGCTGTTGAAATTGTAATATTGATGGAAATTTACGTTCTAATGTAATGAAATAAAAACTTAATTGTCTGACGTAGTCTGTATACTTATAATCGTGTAAATTAATACCCGTGAAGTGACGTGACGTGATCGATAAATTCTTTTTTTTTTATAGAACAGGGGCAAACGGGCAGGAGGGTCATAATTTAGTATTCTGAATCGACGTTCGATGATGAAACTCAGCTGCAAAACTGCTCTCAACACTCTTTATGGTATCTTTAAAACCGATGTAGGTACACGAAAGTGGTCAGCAATAAAGACCAGAAGATTTTTTTAAATGCGAAAACCTAATAACGAGTGTTACATCCTCTTGCCAAAATCATAGCTTGGATCCTACTGAGCAAACGTTCCACGATGCTTTTAATAAAGTTTTGACTAATACGTTCCCTTCTGTAATAACGCTATTCAGCTCCCTGATGTTTTGTGGAGCAGGTTGCACTGATCTTACTCGTCTCTTCAGAACTTTCTAGACAAGCTCAATTAGATTGAGATCAGGTCTTCCAGCTGGCCAATTTAAACGACTGATCTCAACTTGTTGCAACAAGCCAGAATGTGCGAGCATTGTGGTCTATACAAATGGAATCCATCAGCATAAGCCAGTCGGCTGGCAAGGTCATCATCAATATTTTGGGATGCGCATTGCGCATGATATATTCGTAGACTATCTTAAAAAAGGGAAAAACCATCAGCATAGAGCTATTACATAGCGTTATTGGAGCGTCTGAACGTAAGTGCTGATGCATCAAGAACCCGTGTCAATGAAAACGATGGCAAAATTCTATGAATTGCTTCCGCATCCACTTGTATTCTCCATTCTCTGATAAAGAGATAATCGCCGAAACTAAAGCCTATTTGAAGGCTAATGACAAATACTATAAAAATGGTATCGAAAATTTTTATGACCGCTATAATCGTTGGATCGCTCCCGAAGCCAACATCAATAATGAATAATCAAATCAAATTCTATGAAAATATGTTTTCTATATGTAAAACTGATGTTGTTCACGTCCATCTTAAGGCCCTATCCCACGAAAAGCTGTATCAGTGTCTCGGGGTGGACTGCGGGGCGCAGTGGAGAGCTGGAGCACTGAGGCGCGCCGGCCGTAATAACAATTAGTTATGTAAAATATTAAATTAATGGAATTTTATCTTTTTTTTTTCTCAAATGGATTACTTGGCTTGCGAAAAAATATATCGCGTAAATTTTAAAATCATGTTCTATATTCTTTTTCGTCATAAAATGAAGTCAGTGTCAAAAATTGGCTATGTTTGGATTTTTTTACTATCAAGCCAAGTTATTTAAATCGAGTATCGATCTTTCAAAATGGATACATAAACTACTCAACTCCACCATATATTTCTTTCATTCGCCCTAATTCAAGAAACGATGACGAAAAATGGAAAGAAATGTACTTTTTTTGAGTTTGGCGACTAGATCGGTCCTTAAGCATGAAATTTATAATATCTACAAAACCATAATGTTATATAACACTTACCGTCTTTTTAAAGTATATAACAATTAAAAATCCGAGTCTCAGCGCTTTATCCTATTAGTGATAATGAAATCCAACAATTTGTCGGTTTTAATTTCATTTCCATGTTACCCTCGAGTTTTCGACATTTAAATTCAACCCATTGTTTCTATTATACAAGTTTTATTTTAATTTGGCCTATGAAATATTTTTACATTGATTTATGAAAACGCTTGGAAACATGCTAGGCTTAGATTAAGAATGTTTCGTTTCATTTTTAAACCGAAAATAATATTTTCTTTTATTAGCGTACCTACGCCTTGTTACGATTAAAAAAACACACTCGGTTTTAATGTATCTTTATAAATTTACAATGGTACTCACTTGCTCAAGCTTTAACATGTTAACTATAAAGGTTAGTTTCTGTTTTAAGGTAATTAAAACAATTAATAAATAAAGACAGATTACTAACTTAAATACCGCGATTTATGTTTTAGTACGGCATTATTTGTTTCTGGCAACTTTATGTTTTTTTCCTTTGTAGTCTCTTCTAAGTGTCAAACTTCACTTAATCTAGTTATCGAGACGTAGTCTGCGAGTTCTGCAGACCATGGCAAAGGTCTACTTCTCCTATAAAATACATGTTACTTTGGTTAATAAATAAACAAGAAATTGGAAAATCTCTTGGGAATTTCCGTCCATAAACAAACACTAGTAAAAATACACAAACAGTATTCCAAGTTTCAAATAATTTTTAAATTATTTGAAACTTGGAATGTCTTTGCAAAGCTATGCAGAATAAAAATGAAGAACATTCATTATAAAGAGACTCCTTGGAGATTCTGAATAAAAATTATCACCTCCCGTCTCTAGTCAGCGGGTTTAACTTCATTTTAATAAAAATGAACGCCACTGAAAAACTCCAACTTGCCAATGTCTCTGGCTTGATTTTCACGGGAATTTCAAAGGAAATTCTATACAATTAGCTGAATGCATGTATTTATACTTATTATTTAATATTCAGGATTCTTTTATTAATCAGTCATTGATTGACATTCAGCAATTTTATTTTTTTCATTTTTTATCTATCTATTACAAAAAATATGTAAATATTTAATATTCTGTGACCAGAAACTAATCTAATAACATAAGCACAAGACAACATACGTTGTCCTGTACAACTGTATGTTAAAAACATAAAACTCTCGAATCCACAAAAACATCATGAAAATCGGTCCAGGCGTTTTGAAGTTTTCATTACAAACACAGAATATTTATTTGAGTGTGCTAAAAATGTGGTGTGAACGCGGATGTATAAGTATGCCGGTTATAAAAAGCCTAAAAACTTTCATTAATATGTCCTAAATGGTCTAAATATGAGATAAGTAATCGCTAACTATAATTTCCCTATGTCAAAAAAAATGGTTTTTGACATACAAGAGTGAATCATAGCGATAAGTTTCGAGTCCATTAACTTCTACGAAATTCCCTTTCGAACCCGGCGGCTTCATTGAGTTTTTTGCTGAAACAGAAAATTCAGGACTTTATTGGATTGCTGTTTTTTAACATTGAGATGAGTTTAGTTAATTTTTTTGCAGTTTTTGCGAAGCCTTCAATCTTTTCACAGAATGTGACAACTGTTTTGGGGTTAGATTGCTTATCGTTAATCTTTACTGTAGCTACTCTCTATCTACATATTGCGTTATATACATATACTAGCGGATCCGACAGACGTCTTATTTACATAAAATATGTAATAATATGAACACACTAAAAATGTATCAAAATCTGTCTAGCCGTTAAGGAGTTTAATTACGAACACAATCACAGAAGGTATACCAGCTGTTTATTTGCTGTACAGATAAATAACCCAGATACTGATTTGTGAATTTAAATCATCCACCCAAACGCATACAAAAAATTCATTAAAATCGGCCCAGCCGTTTAATAGGAATTCAGTCACATGCCCACGTACAGTGCGTGTGTCATGTACACGTATGGTGTCATGTCATATCATATATAAAGACTAGTGGACCCCACAGACGTTGTCCTGCATGATATTTAAAGCGATTAGGATATTAAGCAAAGTATGAAAGTACCGACTGCAGTGCCATCTGCCGGGCTGATTTGTGAATCTAAACCATTCCCAGATCCCCTTGAACACACACAAAAAATTTCATCAAAATCGGTCCAGTCGTTTAGGAGGAGTTCAGTCACATACACACGCACAGAAGAAATATATATATTAAGATATACGCACATCGCATACTCTAACGCCCGAACCCATTAATCAATCCACAATCTCAGATTGTTTTCAATCAGACCGTGACAGTCGATCGATCTCCTATCTGCATCCCAATAACCAAACCCTACGAAGACAATCCATTTTTGGCGACGGATAAAATGCTCTTTGTCGTTCTGATCATCTGATCATCTGATAAAATAATTAACTGTTGAAATCGAGCTGTCGTCAACTGTCATTTTCATACAAAGGTCTATCCACAGACACCGATACGACCTCCCATGGATAGCTTGTATCGACAGATGGCTATTACAATCCGTCGATTGGTTATTGGCACACTTGTTACCACATTTGGATTAAGATAATTATCTCAGATATGGATTGAGATAGGTTATTGGTTTCGGGCGAAAGATGCGCTGACTGATTCCGACCGCCGACCCTTCGGCCAGGCACTGGTTAGACTATTCGAAGATCCTAGTGGCCTCTGCTTGCGACTCTTATCCCTGAGGTCGTATTCGTTTATTAGGTTCGATCCCCGGCTGTGCACCACTGCACTTTCTTTCTATGTGCGCATTTAACATTGATTCGTTCATTCGCTCGAACGGTGAAGGAAAACCGTCGACGGTGTGTCAGGCACAGGAATCTGATCACCTATTAGATACCGAAAACTGAGGCCCAGACCTCAAAAGGTCACTGATTTATTTATTTTAAAAAGTGAACAGGACAATATTTAAAATGTCTCAGTTGGAACAGTACTTCCTCCACATTAGGAATATTATTAAGAGGAAAGATTTGTATTTTTCTATGTTTTTAAGGAAAAAAATCGTAAATGACTGGCCCGGTTTATAAAATTATTTCATAATTAGAATGTCATGTAACCGTTTAGTAAGTTTCCAAAATTCATGAGATTGAATATTACACAAAATAGAATTTAATATTGTTGAACTTAGTGAATCAAGTATATAATATAATATTTTGTATTATTTAAAATTCCTTTTAGCTAGCTGTTCCTAGCTGTTACCCAACTTTTTTCTTTCACATCTTTGTGGTTTAAAGTGTTTATCGTATACAACTTCATAAAAATTCTGTAATTAAAACGAAATACACTAGGTGTAATTAACAGTTTTAATTATAGAAATGGAAGACTAGAAACGCTGCAATAACTTTGATAAAAATATTTTCACAGCGCATCTTTGTACCGTAGACAAACTTCCTCTTATTTCATTAGCTGGAAATACTATTTTTGACGTAATTTGTTTAATTGGGAAAGCTCTCCTTTCTCGAAATTGTATTGCTTTTTAGAATATCTTTACTCTTTAGTATATTCCAATAGTTAGTAGTTTTGAACCATGGCTGTGTACGGGATTTATGAGCGCATTGAATGCTTAAACGCTAAATGGAAGCCTCGTAAAGACTTTAAAGTTGATAGCGTGTGTCAGGCACAGAAGGCTGATCACCTACTCGCCGATAAAAAATAAACAAAGAAAACAGATACTTGATGCCAAGACTAAGGGAAAGATTTACAGTAGAGCGCGTCTTATCGCTAAATAGGTTTTGATACGGATATTATACTTGCTACCACGTCTCGTGCATATCATTCTCTCTGTTCTTAATCTCCCATACAAAAACTATGTAATAAATAATACTATGTAAATATCCGCTGAGTGATGAGCGTCCGGTCCGTTCGTCTACTTACTAATTTATGAATCAGTCTTATTACACCGTCAACACACCCACTGTTACACACTCATAAACTCAAATTATCATCTGATCCTTATTATCACAACGAAAACACAATTTGCCAGAAAGAGACGGAAGAGTATTAAAAGAAACAGACTGATTAATCTTATGATATATAAATTACGTGTCACGTTGTTTGTCCGCTATGGACTCCTAAACTACCGAACCGATATCAATCAAATTTGCACACCGTGTGCAGTTTGATCTAACTTAAAATATAGGATAGCTTACATCTCAATTTATACCCGCAACATTATTTTATTGTAAAATATTTGTTTATTATTTGATAGTCACAATTCTAACATATGGCGCTGTGTTGAAAGTACCAACGTTTCACATAAGCTACAATTTAATGGCATTACCACCAAAAAAGCATGGTGGTCCCCATGACTGGTGTTCTCCTACCGTTTCCCTTGAATAGGTTACTACTATGTAATATAACTAAAACCTTAGCCACAGCAACGCTTGGCCGGTCTGCTAGTATTTTATAAAAAAGGGGGTACGCTTTTAAATAACAAATATTCTTAGACAATTTACATATAAATCTGTTCCGAAACGTTGGCTCCAGCCCAAAAAATTAATTGTGCCATAGTGGGTGCAAGTGTTCAATAGTAGTTGGTGTAATTAGTGCAATCAGGCCGAATCACGTTTTCGCTCGAGGACCCTGCTGTTGAGTACCCTTGGCAGAGACTGTTATGGCCTTTATAATCTACGAAATTATTTCATTTACATGCAATCTTGGGAGTAACATGAAACATACTGGCGCCTAAATTTAGCTGAAATTTGAAAATGGAACGGGCGTTATTTTAATTATGTTATCACATTTGTAGCTTGTAGTAATGATTTTCATAAGTAATAGTTTTGGCAATGTAACTTGACTTAAATTTGAATAAATGTAGTTTTACGAGGAAAAACCATGAATTCAGTGGATTTGTTGAACAACTGGGCTAAAAATGGACGAGATATTTATGAAAACTTTTATGAATATTGATACACTTTATACTTTGAATGGGAGTGGATAAAATCTCGCCACAGGTAGTTAAAATTTAAGAGAAATCTTTTGAACTGTACAATTTTCTAACTTACTCGATAAAAATAGCAACTTTACAACGAAATCTGTATTATTTTTGTATTTGCTCTTGCAAAAGATAGAATTAAAAAGAAAACAAAAATTTCATATAAAATTTATTTACAACTTAAAATAAAACCCAAAAACCCATTATGTCCATTCAAAATGTATATGACAACACTCGCCTGAATGTGTCAAAAATGTTCTTAAAAGTCCGTACTCTTGCGGCAGGAAACAAAACATCTAAAACTCCTCTGTGATGATTTCTCATAGGTATAACTTTAACCTGGTTATCTTCTGTAGTAGAAGAACCATATTCCGACTCCTCTGCCTTCTTTGATGAAAGAAGTCCTTTCTGTGTTATGGGTGATATTTGCAGTAATTTTGGGTGAAATTCGATGAACTGTGTCGGTATGGAGTTTGGATCGTCTAAGGTATCGTCGTTGTCATTCAGCATATGGTTGCTGTAAATGTCATTGAAATTAACAGTTGACGGATTCAGTGAGTATGGCCCAGTGTACGTCGTAAAATCTTCGGAGGATTGCGCTGTTATCAATACCTGAAATATTAGAAAATTTTTGAAATGTTTTATTTTTTTCTGCAACTGTAATCTTAATTTATTTTATTATTTTATTACAACACAGAAAGATAGTACAAATTTAAAATATTCTTAACTTACATAGCAATAATAATAACATGAATTGAAAATTATAAATTAAACAATAAAAACTAATTTAAAAAGTTTGGCCCTTGTGGCAGTGTTTCTTTAATGCTGGCATTCCTCGCAGTGTTGCGATACTTATTCGTTGAGCGAGGAAAGCACCAGCCCTGCGATTCTGTAACTCGGTAGGTTATGCGGTCGTCTCAAAGTCGTGAAGAGTATTTTATGATTTGGCATTCTGAAAAGGGGGAAATTGTAGTTTATTGTTAATCAGAATGCCAAATCATAAAATGACTGCTTCACGACTGATTTGAGAGCGACCGCCGATGCAAAACCGCTGTGTGAGTTCGAAAAGTGAGTTACAGAATCGCAGGGCAGCTCTGGGGTCACCGGTACTATCTATCAGGCGCCAATTAATTAATCTTAAATCTTTAATTAACGCCTATGTACTTGAACCTCACGGCCCAAGAGTCTCTACTCCAAAGGGAACAAAATCAAAGTTGGAGAAGATTTTTATATTTGAGCAGTTTATTACAAAGGTAGATTTTCTACTTCATATAAGGTATTCCCGAATAAATACTCGTATTTCGAGTAGACAGAAACAGAAGGTTGTTAACCAATAATAAATACTTACCCACAATTTTTAGTTTGAAAGTTTAGTATCAGTAATTTTGTATTGATTAGTATTATATAGTATTTTCTTTAAACAATCCTGTCCTAACGGGTGACCCTAAAGCAACAATTATTATAAAAAAATCACACACGAAATAAAAAACAAATTTAAATAATTAATTAGAAGACACAAGATAAGAATAACATACTGTTTGACTATATGTTAATCAATACTTTTTTTTATAAAGAATAATGTAAAATCTATAGTTGCAATATTTGTAAATATGTGAGCACTATGTATCTCCACTGCTGCATCGTTTTTTATAATACGTTTTTTGTACTAGGTACAGGGTCTTCGCATATAATGATCAAATCAATGTATTCAAACTATTTTAAAAGAGTAAGTACTTATTTAGTTTCTTGCCCATTATTCTCGATATGAAACTACGTTTCTAAAGGGGCAACTATAGTCATTTTTTCAAATATTTTTAACTTGTAATTGTGACGTTAAAAGTTCCTTTTTAATAGGCCTAATTGAAATAAATGATTTAGCATTGACTTTGACAAAATAAAAAAAATACAAATAGTAGAACTTTTGTCAGTTCAATCAACGGACTATAAAAAAGGTCCTTTAACCTATGTAATTCGTTGACTAATGTCTAACACAGCGAATCATTTGTGCCCTTTTCAGAAGGTTAGTCCAAGCTGTGGGCACATGAACTAACGGCGGACGATGTCGCCTTCTGCCGTACCCACCAGGCACATTGAAGTACTGTCCTTTGGTATAGTTTTAGTAAGTACAACGCAAGCGCGAATTCTAAGCCCGTTATAGCCCACAGAACCAAAAGGTCGAATCCATGAAATGGGTAAAAAAACACACCGTACATCCTATGATTTGTTTTTACCCTCGATAAATAGTATTAGTAGTTCAGTATTCATTAGTTTAAACATTGTAATGAAACTTACGAAAACCGTAGTCACCAAATATATTGAAATCCACATTTTGACTTCCGCTCACACTGAAGGGTATCGACAATCTGATGCATGGTCCGCCTGTCGATTGTCGCGTGTGAACTATCCTTTGTTTTAGATATGTTTACTAAAATAAGAATAGAATCAACATAGTATTGTTATAATTGTCTTACTGAATACAATGATTTCTCAATAGCTTTGTCTCGTTTTTCTCTCGTAGGTTGGTCATAGTGTACTGGGGTTCAAATGAAATACATTGTATATAAATAATTATTCTGTTTTGGCTTCATTTCTCTGTTTCGTTGCCATAACATCGGGTTTTGGCTAGACACTATTTCTTTCAGTGTCCTGCTCCATGCGAGAAATTTTTTATTGGGTAATAATTATTATTATATGCAGATTTAAATGGCAATCCTAACTTACTACCGCTGAGCAGTGTTGGCATCAGCGTGCGACTCTCATCCCTGAGGTCGTAGGTTCGAACCCCGGCTGTGTACCAATGGATTTTCTTTCTATATGCGCATTTAACATTCGCTCGAACGGAGAAGGAAAACATCGTGAGGAAACCGGCTTGCCTTAGACACAAAAAGTCGACGGCGTGTGACAGGCACCGGGTGAATACCTACTTGCCTATTAGATTATCATATGATTATGAAACAGATACAGAAATCTGAGGCTTGGACCTAAAAAGGTTGTAGTTGATTTTATTTTTTAACTTACTACCGCTACAGAAATGTTTAAATGGTTTAATTAAAAAAAAAAAAAAAGATGAATTATTTTCCTCCTTTAAAAACTGAGCTGTTCATTTTCAGGCTGGTGAACCAATCAGAATGCTTGCTTTGCCCTACCTGGGGGACATATGGCATAACTTCTGACTTCCACATCATCAGACATTTTTATACTATTACACACAGTTTTCGCCTTGTTCACTAATACTGAATTGGAGAGATTTCCGCAGACGCAGAAATCTTTTTGCGCCACGCCTCAGGGACTTATACCGTACAAAGTGCTTGTTGTCAGGGGAATTGAATCTCTATTTACTTGAGATGGTAAATATATCTATTTTCTCTCCATATAAGACGTCGATAGTAATATTAAACTCAAACTCAAAATATCTTTATTCATATTGGTGAACAAGTACACTTATGAAAGTAAAAAAATAAGTTAAATTAATTATACATTTACATTTACTACCAGTTCACGTTCAAGTCAAGGGAGTAGAGCGGGCAAGAAGAACTGGCGAGAAACTTTCCGCCACTCTTTTAAATCGTTAAGTTTTGAGTCATACAAATTGTTTGAATTGGAGCAAATCAATCTCAAGGATTAGGATCATTTAAGTATTCCTCAAATTTAAAAAAGCTTTATTGATTAGTGTACGTTTAACGAAGGCTTTGAATTTATTTAGTGATAATTCTCTAATTTTGCTTGGGAGTTTCTTGTAAAAACGAATACAATTTCCATATAAGGAGTGGTTTATCTTCTGGAGCCTTGTTGGTCGTACACTCAAATTAGTTCTATTTCGCGTTTCATACTGGTGAAAGTCACCATTTGTTTTAAAATCGTTTATATTTTTTTGTACATACAACAAGGCTTCAATAATATATTGACCAGATAGTGTCATAATATTTAATTCCTTAAACTTATTCCGTACCGACACAGCAACGCAGCAACGTTACGGATATGTTTCTATATTTCTGAGTTATAGTTAGGTCTAGTGTAAGAAAGTTTGACGTCAAAGTCTGCTACTTAAAAATAATAAATTACCTAGACGCGCTGATGGAACTTCATCTGCCTATGTTTAGGTACACAAAGTTCTTGCGGTTTGATTAAACTACGGAATATCTTATTATTTACAGGATGGTCCATCTAGTGACGTCAGTAAATTTTTTTTTAGATTCCTCACACCTGGGGATATAAGAAAATACCCCATGTATGTTCCGCAATTGTTTGTAGTTTTCGAGTTGTATATTTTTTGAATGTTTTCTGCCAGCGAGGTTTCAAAAATTCATATCTTTTTTTTGTTGTAGGTATTTTGCATTTTTTTTCTGTGAAATGATTGTCTTAAATGTTGTTCAAATAAAAAAAAATGTTACATGTTCCTTGACGGATAAAAATGTTATATAAATCTGTATTTAAGGCTCTTAATTCAATCTTCTGTAATTGAAATGTAGATATATCCACAGAACGGTCAATTATTTCAATGTTTGATTAGTTGGCGAGTTAAGAAGTAAATGCAAAGTGAATCTTTTTAGCTTTTTTAGGATTCATTTTGTAACCAATTCAAAAGACTGCTAATATCCACAAAATTGTATATTTTTGAAGTTATACTTCTTTAGGCGCGTTATGAAGAATTCATGAGAGTGAAATTTTACGATGCGCGCGCACTGTGACACAAAATTAACAGGATGAAGTTGCCCATGGACGATGCTACGGCATTGCACATAATTTAAAAACAACATTCGAATAATAATAGAATTTATGTTATACTTAATGTAAGGGAATAATAATAAATATTTATTTATTTAATTTTTCAAATGTAAACTGAACTTTATTGACTATAATGACTCCTTTTCTAGTCTTTGATTATTTAATTATATTTAATTAATTGCATGCAATCAAAAAATATTTTTAATAATGTTAAAGAAGTATAACTTCATACGCGCGTACATACTCGTAAGTACACGCACCCTTTTTTATCTTTATTTCCGTCTCCTCTGCCTCACAAACTCAAACTATAGGCAATATTTTCTGAATACGAATTCCCAGCTACCTACATGACATTTATAGATGTATTATGATGATGGATGCACACAATTGTTTGGTGTGAATGGATCAATAGGCGATAAACAATCAGAGGTCTGAGCTATTCTCCACTGCACTAATCTATTGTTTCTATCAACACCTTTGTTCAGTCCTATTCCAGGATTTTTAAGGAACATATGTGGAATAAGACAAACGAATAAATCATTGAACATAAATATGTATTAATATACCAAGAAAAACTTTTCATAATTCTTAAAATCTTAAACATAACCATTCTTTACGTCGTATTTATTTATTAAAAACGTAACGTGGAACGTAAAGTGCAAGAAGTGCGTAAAAAAATTACAAAAAACAAGAAACAGAGAAAATTTACACACTGAATCTAAATTACAATTACCAAACTGAATCCAAAATAAACTAGTAGCTTATCTTACGATTCATGAATCAAAAGTCAAGTTTATGAATAAAAATAATAAAAATTAATACAAATCTTTACGTGACGTAAAGGACAACTAAACTATGGTATGTATATATATAATGATAACCTAAAAATAAATATACATATGTTGAAAAATACTAACAAGGTACACATACCTAATCCTAAGGAAGTTGTGTTTATTACGTGCATAGACACTGAAATGAAATTCCGACCTAGGTTTCGTATCGAAAACGACAAATCATTTAAGGTACGGGCTTTAAACCATTGGTGGTATTGAATACACCAAGATCACAATAGTTGTCACTCAGATGAATGCCTCCTGTTCCTCTGGGAATATTGCGTTATCAATCATTTTTTAAAGCAGTGCTTCAATGTCTAGAATTCTATGGTTAAAAATGTTGATAAACACATCATTTTATAGCTTACGAAAACGGATGGCAGATATTAACGTTGTTACTTCCGTAGGAACCGAATTCTTTTCTATACAAAGAAAGCGTTGATCATGAAGCTACGGCTAGACTACCAGCCCGTCAATGGTTTTACTCCCTTATTTGTTATTTACAGTAGAGATATGATTGATCTTTTATAAAATTACAGCCCATAAATAATAATAAAATTTATTTGCCTCTTCACAATTTTGCACGTTACAGGTTTGTGCTGTATTAACCGTCTCTGTGAGAGGCTGGTACCTATAATAGGACTATAGAAGTTCTGTTGTAACAGGTCACCAGCCTTTCATGATGGATAGAAAATATAGAAAGAGATGAAATACTATGACAAAACTTAAGTAGCAAACAAAATAAAACTAAAGCCTTATTTTAAGTGTGTGAATTAAAATAATTTAATTTAAATTGAATCACGAATAGCTATTGCTAACAACTTTTCTGTTTTATCGTAATCAAAGCTTTTCAGAAATTTAGAAACAGCTGTTTAGACTGTAGATACTTAAGGAAGAATTAAGTTTAGCAAAAACATTATAATAACCATGTGATTATCGGCTTGGGAAGGTTTTAAGTTTCAAATATAGACTCCAATTGACACACTATACATAATTGTTAAGTACTTCTCTGTACACATTACCCCATCTGTGTGTAATGACCGTAATGTCATATTTTGAGTTTGAGTTTGAGTTTGAGTTTGTCAGCTTTGGAATTTTATTAAGTTCATGCTTTTAATTATAGAGTAACTACGAAATGTGTCACAAACAAATTTTCACCCTTTCAACTTTACCAATGTTTAAATCATATTAATTAGTGTGCAAGTAATTAACGCTTTCTCGGATTCGTTAAAAACTAAAGTCGCCTCGCCGCGATGCCAGACTTGCGATGGTATTATGCAAGAGATATGAAACTATAATATGACTATTAAGATTAAAATACTTTGTCAATCTTTAAAGAAACTAGGTAGTATTTTTTTACATATTTATAAGTAGTAAACTTATTTTTAAACTTTTCTATATGTTAGTCACTAGTCTAGTATTGGGTATATGGGAAGTGTGTCTTTATTGAAAGGTCGTGGTAATGACTGAAGTGGCTTCGGCGTGTGATTATCATGGTGATCGTAGGTTTGAACCCCGGCTGTGCACCAATGGACTTTCTATGTAACACTCGCTTTCATTTAACAATCGCTGGAAAACATGAGAGGAAACCGACATCCCTTAGACCCAAAAAGACGGTGTCCTGTGTCCGGTACAGATACCTACAAGCCTATTAGAAAAAACAAACGATCAAGCAACATATACCCAAAATGACGCCCCAAACCTTAAAAGATAAAAAACCCAGCACTTATAGTTCATAGTATTTTAATGTTAAAAATGTATAATCACACT